CACAGTCGGCCGGTGGGGCTGGGTTTGCTGTTGGCTTTTATACGGAAGTATTCTGGTCTCTTCATTGTATCCTGGTGACCAGGAACTCAAACGTGGGTTGCAGTGGGCAGACACACAACGTCTCTGTGAAGGACTTGTCCCCACCCTCCTCACCCTCCTCTTCTGCTCCACATGTGTGGGAAGAGCCTCTCTGAGGTGGTGCAGGGCTCAGGTGTCACCTTGAGAACTAAGATACACCTGCCCCGGCTGGCCGGGGGATTCCCTCATTTACTAGCCATCTCCTTTCGTGATTTGAATGAACGTTTGCAAAGCAGATCGTTTTCTATGCAACGATTCATCCAAATTGGGGGTTAGAACACTACTTAGAATACCCACAAGACACTTGCATTGTCCCCTGCGCAGCTGGTCATGCTCACGTCTGTCCCTGGTTCTTTCTCTCTTTCTGTGTGGGTCTCTCTGTCTCTATGCTTTTGTAGCTCTTTATCTGTCTCTCAGTCTGTCTATCTCTCTCTCAGTCTCTCTCTCTCCCTCTTGACATCTCTCTGCTTCCATATCTGCCTCTACCTATATTTCTTCCTTTCTTGCTAAACTAATCCATTCCTTAGGGGGCGGGGAAATACTTTGCCACACATTTTGCAAACCTTTCTGAAATGATGGAACCACAACCACGTGTGTTTGTGCGTTTGGGATTGCAGAGCAGCTTCTTACCACGCGGCCACCAGTTGGCCTGTGACATTGGAACCTGCCCATGCCTGGCGCTCCAGTGGGATTTCAGAGGCAGAAGATCGCGTGGGAGGAGATTTCCCTGCTCTGTCCTGCGGAGCAGCCAGTGGATTTGAACTGCCTATCTTTGCATTGGCAGCACAGTTCCTTCCCTCTAAGCCAGTAGAGCTGCGAGGCCCCCAGAGCTCTGTGAAATGGTGCACGAGCTGGTCAGCTCACAGACCCCAGAGGTGGGCGACGTCTGCTGGGAGAATATAACCCTGCTAACTCCGGCGGCGTGTGAGAATTAGCTCATCAGTTATTCGGACAAGAAACCACCACCGGCAAACTGAGCGTGCAGTGAAAATCAGGACAAAGGGATGGGGGGCTGGACACAGCCGATTCCAGACCCTGGGTGAAGGAGGGCACTCGAGGAGGGAGGGCTGACCCCCCTGCACGCACAGGTGCCCTCCCAGGACCTGGAAACCTGCAGGTGACGTGCTGACCATTTCCGTAGCCTCGTCGCCCCCTTAGTTCATTTCTGAGCCTGTTTATCCCGGAGCTCCTCTAAATTAGATTCTCCCTTCTCCAGATGGAAAAAAGACTGGTTTTAATAAGTTACCTGCATACATTATGCATAGCTTGATATTCAGTAATAAGTACACAGTTTGGAAAAGGGAGATGATAAAAGTTTATTTAACGTTTTATCTTCTGGCCTTTTAATATTAACCAAGCTTTTGATGCCTCCAACCAATCTCAACCAATAAAGCAGATAGCACGGTGTTTCTGCTGCCTGTTCAACTACGCGAAAGCCCAGCGGGCTCCTTTCACTGAAGAGGGAAGGGGGGTTGGTGCCTCTGAGCTGTGATATCGAAGGAGAATGCTGAATATCTACGGCCTGCCGTAGGACAAGCTGGACAGCGCTCTGGGGGTGCAGCCAGAGTGTCCTCGGAGGCCAGGACGGCGAGGCTTCATCTCCCATGCCTCGGGCATGTTGTCGGACCACCCGTGCTTGCAACGCAACCTCATACATGATAAAAGAGAAGACCCCGGGGGACGCGGAGGGTCACAGTGGCTGTGGGCAGGGGGCTTCAGCCCACCTGGGACTGGACAGGACGGTGCAGGATTAGACGGGGTTTACTGGTCACTGTGGGTAGGAGCCTGACTCGGCCCCTGAGTGGTGCAGATATTAGCGTGCTTGTCTGCTAACTCACATTCAGGCCGGGTCATGCTGGGCCGGTGAGGAAAAGCCTGGTCATTGGCCTCCAACGCCCCAGCCGTCGGAACCGGGCACCGTTTTCCTCACAGACCCTCGCGCTCCCTGTGACGGACTTGGGGCTGCCGAAGCTCATCCGTGAAGTTGGGGGCCTGCCTGCTCCGGCTGTTCCGGAAGAACCTTCTTTGTTATGGATTACACGGGCCCTTGTTTAAGCTGCTCTTTCTCTCGTTACAAGGTCTTTCTTAAATCCCATTTCTAAGTCCGTAAATGTATACAGGATGCATACTCTGTCATTTTTACTTACATTCCCGGCTTCAGAGAGCTATGCTGATGTCACGGCCCAGCCACAGTAGGGACACCGTGGTCAGGCGTCTGCACTGATGAGGTGCTGCATTCACGTGGCCTCAGGTCTCTAGAGCTCCTCCGACACAGGTACTGGGGACAACTCGGCATAGTGACAGCCGGGCCGCAGCTCAGAGTCCAGGCAGGACTGAGGACCCTCTGCAGAGAATTCTGCCACCTTCCCACCATCCCCGAGGCAATACTGGGTGCCCTCTGCAAACACAAGATTCCCCCCAGTCCCCCCGAGGAGATACTGAGTGCTTTCTGCAAACACAGGTTCCCCCGATCCCCCCCAGAGGTGATACTGGGTGCCCTCTGCAAACACAAGGTTCCCCCCAGCCTCCCACCAGAGAGGATGGTGCTGAACTTTGAAACCATCCTGATTTTTGGTTTAAGAGTTAAGCTCACCAAAAGTTACGTTATCAACAGTTACGGATAAGCAAAATAGAGCCTCACGAGCTAGGAATCTTTTTTCTATTATTGGCTGAAATGAAATAAAAACCCTAGGGAGACAGAGAAAGGGGCCTTTCTACAGTGCTGAGCTGTGAGAGGACCTCTGCCTCAACCTCTCTCTCCGAATTCATTTCCTCATGTCCCCGCTTTCTTTCTGCGTTGGGTTAACAAGGTACCACAAGGGGGTGGCTTTGACAAACAGAGCATGTTCTCTCACGGTTTAGGAGGGTGGAAGCCTGGCGTTAGGAGCAGCTCCAGGGGGAGGCTTTCTCTGGGTCTGTTCTTGAGTCCCGTCCTTGTTTTCTTCTACATCCGTCGGCCCAGCGTCACTCCTTGGCACGTCCCAAATGCCTGGAGGGTCCCCACCATTATGGACCTTCCAAACAAAAGGGCTGCGGCCAAGAGGAAATGGACTTTGCCATGGACAGTGGTTGTCAGTGTAGGATTTCCCAAGGTCAGCGAGTGCCCCCATGATAGGATTGTAGATACGGTCGGTGACCCAGTGTTAAGACACTGAACGACAGTCCCCAGTCCACCAGCCGCTCCAGGGCAGAGAGACGGACAGTCTCCGCCCGTGTAACTTACCACCGCTGAAAACCCACCAGAAGGTCAGCTGTGGGCCAGTCCCCATCTATGAGACCAGGGCTGTGACCTAACCTGGGTGTCATCCCACCTCTCACACCCGACCACTGATCTCATCACAGGAATGGTGGCTACAGCTCCACAGAGGAGCCCCGGGGGCCTGGTGGGTAAGGAATGGTGTCGTCAACTCCAAGACAAGCCGTCCAAATCCGCTAGCCTCTCCTGGGGAGAAAGGTGGTGGTCTCCTTCTGTGCTGGAGGGCCAGCTGTGAGTAGAGTCCGGCTCGAGGGACTTAGCAACACCACATCATCACGTGACCGTCTCGAATCCCGCCTCATTGCCATCACAGAGGGTACTCGTGAGATGGTGACAGTGGACTGAGAGTCAGGACCTTGTCTGGTGAACACATTCTTGTTGTCTTGTTATTATTGTGAGGTTAGTAGCCGAGAACCAACAGCTAAAGGTTGCTCTTGTCAGGTGTCATCGAGTGTGACTGACTCATGTGACCCTCTGAACAACAGATCTGAACCCTGTCCTGTCCTGTGAACCCTGTCCTGTGCCATCCCTCCACTTCCTGACACGCTCAGGCCCGTTGGGGCAGTCACTGTTGCAGTCCACCGCTTGAGGGTCATCCTCTTTTATGCTGACGCCCCACCTTTCCAAGCATGATGTCCCTTTCCAAGGACTGGCCCCTCCAGCAGCTTGGCCAAGCATGTTAGATGGAGTTTCACCATCCCTGACTCCGAGGGGCACCCCTGGTTTCCCTTTCTCCAGGACAGACCCACTTGTTATCTTTGCAGTCCCGGGATGGTCAGGACTCTTTCCCAACACCACAACTCAAAGGCATCGATTCTTCATTCTTCCTTCGTCATTGGCTTCATAACAGAACATGCAATAGGGGAACACAGGCCAACCCATGGCCCGCGTGTTGTGATAATTGTCTTCGACACCTTGTATTTTAAGAGGGAAAGTGCTGTACTGTAGCTCAGTGAGTGTGGCATTGAGGCGTCTGGGTGCTGGGTGTGGTGGTGTGGCCGAGAACAGCTTCTGTGTAAAGCAGCCCAGGTGTGAGTAGGGACCTCCAATGTCTTGGGTGAACATCCTAGCCCCAGGTGAGTCCTCTGCATGGTGCGTCACCCAGTGGCTTCACCTGGACAAGCTGAGCTTAACTGGCCTCAGGAAGGCGCCATGGCGGGGTTTTCCAGGCTGGCAGTAAGTGCCCTCTTTAGCACACTCGCCGGCACTGTGTGGATAACCATGTGTGGACTCTGCCTGGTCAGGAGCCCTGGTGGCATGGGGCTCTGTGAGGTGTGCTCCTGACCCAAAGGTCGGCGGTTCTAGGCTGTCCCCTGCTCAGTGGGAAAAGGAAGAGGCAGTTTTCTCCTGCGGAGATTTCCAAGCTCCGGACCCGAAGGAAGGTGGCCCAGTGATGGGTGCATCCACGAGACAGCAATGGGGCTTGGTTTCACGCAAATAACTTTCTTTTTACCTTTTTTTCTAAGCCAACTCGACATTAGTGGGTTCGGTTTGACATCCTTTTAGTTGGCTCTGTGCTTTGTCTAACAAAATAGCAGAATCTGTTTTGAGTGGTTCACAACTGAAGGCAGAGACCGTGACTTATTAGAGAGGAGTCAAGTGCAGAAGCCGCTCCCCGTGTGTGGGTGGCGTCTTGTGTGATCAGCTTCTCCTCTTTCCCTCCCAGGCAGTGGCTCAAGTCTGAAGACATCCAGAGAATCTCCCTCCTCTTCTACAACAAAATACTGGAGAAAGAGGTAAGCGATTTCTTCTTCTGAATCCGTAGGTTGTTTTGAAATGTGGGTGTTTAAAAATTCCTTCATGGAGTTGTGGTCATCTGGTTTTTATTTTGTGCCTTCACACGCGCGCGCGCACACACACACACACACACGCATATGCACACGTGACACGTAAATCCTCCAGCTGAATCCGGGCTCTCCAGGCCTTGCTTGGGTTGCGCACATCTGCTGTGCCCTCCTCCTCCTCTATGCCCAGTTCCCCACCCCCCAACCCCAGTGGCCTCAGCTGTCAGCACCCCAGGAGCCAGCCTGGGTCCAGACAACAGGGAGGGGCAGGAAAGATCTGCTGACTCCATGTGCAGTTTTCTTAGAACATGTTTTCAGAGAAAGTGAAGCCCTTCCTGCAAGTTTACAGTGTCTCTACACAAAGGATCCCTGGAGGCATGGCAGTAACATCAGGCTGAGAGGTGAGTGGTTCGAATCCACCGCCTACTCCACGGGAGGAAGGTGGACCATGCCTCCTGTCCACGTGGCCCAGCCCAGTGTGTGCATGTTGGTGAGGACACACAGAGCCATCCGTGACGCTGTGCAGTGAGAATCGTATTCAGAACGTTCTGTATTGTGGAACCGTGGAAACAGGTTAACTCAGAGGAGGAAGCCTGCAGTTAGATCAGCCACAGAGCAGGGGAGGCTTTGGGTCACAAATAGTTGGTTTTGTGGGGTTTTTAAAAACTTCATGATGAAAAATGAAGATTTCTATTCAGCACCTGTTTGGGAAAAGTGGAAAGGCCAAGCACGTATGTTTTTTTTATTTTCATAGTTTTCATGAAATGTGCAATGAGCTGGAGTCAGAAAATCAAAAGGGCTGAATGCACTTGGCATTTCTTAAGCTGGAGGAACAAAAGAACAAATTCAAGGCATGAGTTGCAATACTTAAGGATGCTGTGGGAAGAATATGGAATGGTCCAGGAAGCATTAAAAGAAGATGGACGAAGAATACAGAGTCACGTACCAAAAAGAATTAGCTGATGCAGAATTTCAGGAAACATGTGACCAAGAGGCAATGGTGATGAAGGAGGAAGTTCAGGCTATTCTGAAGGACTTGGGGGGGAAAAGCCCCAGGAATTGTTGGAATACCAATTAACGTGTTTCAGCAAACAGATGGTGCCCTGGATGTGCACACTATGTTGTGCCAAGAAATCTGGAGAACAACCACTTGACCAACTGACTGGAAGAGATACATATTTATTCTCATTCAAAAAAAAAAGTGACCTGACAAGGGTGTGGAAATTATCAACCAATATCACTAGTACCACACACTTGCAAAATCCTGCTGAAGATTATCCGGAAACAACTGGAGTAGTACATTGACAGAGAACTACCAGAAATACAAGCTGGGTTTAGAAGAGTTGGAATAAGGATTGGAGGAAGACTCATCAACAACCTGCATTATGCAGATAACACAACCTTGATTGCTGAAACTGAAGAAGACCTAAAGTGCTTGCTGTAGAAGGTCAAGGACTGCAGCCTTCAATATGGATTGAAATTCAACATCAAGGGGACAGAGGTTGTCACCACTAAACCAGTTGGCAGCACCATGGTGGATGGAGAAGAGATTGAGGTTGTTAACAGTTAAAGCTTGTTTGGCTCCACAATCAATCAACGCTCTTAGCACTGGCAGTCAGAAAATCAAAAGATGAATTGCACTGGGAATATCTGCTGTCAGGGACCTTTACAGAGTGCTGAGAAGCAACGATGTCAATCTAGAGATAAGGTGCGCCTGATCCAGGCCATGGTCTTCCCGGTTACTTACAATACTTCAGAGAGCTGGACAATGACTAACGATGACGGAAGAAGAATCAGTGCCTTTGAGGTGGAGAGGAGTCTTCAACATAATATGGACCACCAGCAAAACCAGTAAGTCTGTCTTGAAGAGAGTGAAACCAAGTTTCTCCTTGAAGAAGACTAGGATTCTGAAGCTCTGACATATACTTGGGGAGCTTGGCGAGGAGGGATCAGCCCTTGGAGAATGACATCATGCTTAGAAGGGTGGAGGGACAGCAGGGAAGAGGAAGACCCTGGATGAGATGGATTGACACAGTAATTGGGGCAGTAGGGGTGGATGTGTCAGAATTAGACTGGCTTAGGACAGGGCAGGCTTCAGAGCTACTGTCACTGTGAGTCACAGGCCACTCAAAGACACATAACAACAACAACAACAGCCCGAGGCCTGCAGACACAGACTCTTCCCACGCCTTGAAGGCCTGCAGACACCGCTTTCCACACGTGGCTCCTGCTGCCAGCCAGGCTTCCCGGGGCCTCCTGCTGTTACCTGAACGACTCTCTTCCGCTTTCTTACTAACCCTTCTTATTGTCGGCTTCGTGCTGTGACTGCAGTGTAGGTTCTGAAGTGGGTCGTCTTGAGGTCAGTGTTTGGTGTCACTGAGTGTCGACTGTAAACTGACTGTAGTTTCTAATCACTGTTTGCTGTGAGGTGAATGTTTACCACGAGCCAGCAGTTGTTCATGTGTTAATTGTCTGGAGCCAACGCACTTCCCCTAAGTATTGGTACCAAGTCAACCCTGACATGTAGCGACTTTCTGAACAACCCATCTGATCGCTGTCCTGTCCCCTGCTGTCCTCATCGTCCCTGACGCACTTGAACACCTCGTCGCCATCACCGAGTCAACGCGCCTGGTTGAGGGTCTTCCTCTCCTTTGCTGACCTTGACTCCTCCCAGGTATCAGGCCCTCTCTAAGGAGCACCGTCTCCTAGCAACATGCCCGAAGGATGTGAGGGGGGCTCGGCCCTGCTCTCCTCCACAGAGCACTCTGGCTGCACTTGATCCTAGACGTGTCAGTTTGTCCTCTTGTCTGTCTGTGGGACAGTCAGTCAGTCCTCTCCTCCCTTAAGTGAGGTGCCAGTTTATCCCAGATGCCACTTTCCTCACCCTGAGAGCGGGGTGCCCGCGTGCCGTGCTGTGGTGAGCGTTAGATGAGCGCCATGCACAGCGTTTCAGGTCCCGTCACCTGCCGATGGCACCGGGCCTTCAGGGTCATCACACCACCACCGGCTGAGCGTCACTCGGTCAGACTTCTTTCGTGCGTGAACTCCAGGTCATGGTCATGGTCACGGGGCCAGTGGTAGACCTGCCCACGGGTCAGTTCACTGTCCTGGGAGGCAGGAGCCGCTGTGTGGCACCCTGCTGACCATGCTAGATGAGAGGGAGACGTTGGCAACCCCAGCTGAGTAGAAGCAAAGGGTGATTCGAGATCTGTATCCCCGCCCCAGCAGCCTGCCCAGCGCCCAGCAGGAGCTGATCCGACTGGAATGTCCATCAGTGTCCACAAATCGCATAGTGCTCCTAAAAGGGAAAGGTCACTGGGCGAGGGGTCATGCCCTCTCCTCACTGTCTGTTACCATGAGACCTGGTTGTGTGCCTCAGCAGGAAGGTCATGGGGTGAGGAGTCACGCCCTCTCCTCACTGTCTGTTACCATGAGACCTGGCTGTGCGCCCCTCAGAGGGAAGGTCACGGGGTGAGGAGTCACGCCCTCTCCTCACTGTCTGTTACCATTAGACCTGGCTGTGCCCCTCAGAAGGAAGGTCGTGGGGTGAAGAGTCACGCCCTCTCCTCACTGCCTGTTAGCATTAGACCAGGCTGTGCGCCTCAGAGGGAAGGTCACTGGGTAAGGGGTCATGCCCTCTCCTAGTATCTGTTACCATTAGATTTGCTGTGCACCTCAGAGGGAAGGTCACGGGGTGAGGGGTCACACCCTCTCCTCACTACCTGTTAGCATTAGAATTGCTATGCTCAAAAGCACAGGAAACACCTCCATCCTCCCTGTAGATCCCCTAGAATGCACGAACTCATGATGTGTTGGTGGATTGGGCAGCGTCCTGGTCACTGGTGGGCAGTGTCTCTGTTGTCTGGTGCTGCTGTAACAGACCACAGTGGATGTCTGTAACAGATATGAATGCACTTTCAGTGTAGGTGTCTGGCCCCCTGCATTCAGGAGCCAACTCGGGGTGCAAGCTTTGTCTCCGCATCTCCGAGCTCCACAAGTTGCCAGGGCACGAGCCTGGGCCCAAGGACACACCCTGTTGTTCCTGTTGCCTTTTGCTTGTATTGTCTTTTGGTTTGTGCACAGAATTCTGTGTTTTACTCACAAACGTCATGCTTTGCATCGTGATTCATAGCCTCGCTGCCGTGCACCGTCTAAGACTGGCCATGCTTCATCCATGCCACAACCACCTGTCTCTTCGGGTCCCCACTAGATCTGTCCCTTCACCCCCTCCCCTCCTCACTTCTCTCTTCTGTGCTCTCTTCTGCAACTACACGTGATCCAGGCCGCGCCTCATGGAATCGCCTGTTACGTGTAGTCGGCTCTGTAGTCCAGCAAGGGTCGTGCCTCCCCGCACTCACTGGCTGACCACAGATCTCCCCGTGGGGAGTGGTCATGTTCTTACAAGACTCTGCGCCTGACGTGTAGCATGCGACCCCTGGGGTCGGGGTGAGTCTACCAGGCACTCTAGAGAAGTGTGAGCAGGTTCATCCCCAAGAGATTTACAGACTCAGAACCCCAAAAACACGCACCAGACTCAGTGGCAGAGCCCTCCCGCCCTGCCTCCTCACCAGCACGGAGGGCAGGACTTAAACTCGAAGGATAACTGCCTTGTAGTGAGGTCCTGACCCACAGCCAGTGTGGAGGCCCTTTGGGGGACACAGCTGAGCCTGTGACAGGTGACCTCTGGCGGTCACTGCATCCTCGCTCAGTGAACGTGAGATGACAGGCACCACCCTCAGCAGGCAGCCACCACCGTCCACGATTTATGCATGGACTGTGACCTAGTGGAAGTCGTTGATGGGTGCCTTCGAGTCAAGTGTGACTCACAGCAGCCCTGTGAAGCCGCGTCCTCTCCTGTGCCATCCTCCCATCTCTGACACACTGGTTGTTGTTGTTGTTTGATGTCATTGAGTTAAGCGTGACTCCTGGCGACCTGTGAACAGTAGATCTGAACGCTGCTCCCTCCTGTGCCAAGCTCAGCATCTCTGACACAGCCCATTGCTGCGGTCACAGTGACAGTCCACCTGGCTAAGGGTCTTCCTCTCTCACTCACCCTCCACCTTGCCAAGCGTGATGTCTCTTCCAAGAAACAGCCTCTCCTGGCAGCATGCCCAAGGGAGGTGAGATAGACTTCACGGTCCTGGCCTCCACGGGGTGCTCTGGCCTCACCTCCTCCAGCCACACTGTTGGCGTGTCCCGGTCCCGGGGACGTTTCCTCAGATCTCCTCCGGAGACCTCATCAGTGTTTCCTCTCCCCGCAGTACCGAGCCACGGCCCTGCCTGCCTTCAAGTACTACGTCACCTGTGCCTGCCTCATCTTCCTCTGCATCTTCCTCGTCCAGATCCTCGTGGTTCCCAAGTAAGTGTGCAGACCCCCCTCTTCTCACAGGTGCTCCCTGAGTGGAAGGTTGGCGGCCACACCCCGCTTGGTGCAGTCCTGTCAGCACCCGCCGTGTTCCAACAGGGCGCACTCTGTGTCTCTGGGTCACATTCTGGTAATGATCACAATATTTCTAATTTTGTCATAATCAAGTTAGAACTGAGGCATAGCTGACCCTTCAGTGGGTTTTCAGAGGCTGTAAATCACGTGGGAGTGGACTGCCCAGCCTTCTCCTGAGGACCACTTGTTGGATTCGAACTGTGTACCTTTAAGTTGACGGCACAACTCCTTACCACTAAGGTGAATGACTATCAGATAGTGCAAACCTAACTCTTAGATAGGAACTCTGGTGGCCTAGTGGTGAGGAACTGCACTGCAATCCCAAAAGCACACGGTTCAGATCCACTGGCTGAAGGAGAATGGATGCCTTTGAGCTGTGGTGTTGGAGAAGAATACGGAATATCCCGTGGACTGCCTAAAAAACGAACAGGTATGTCCTGGGAAGGACACGGCTGCGGTGCTTGTTGGAGGCAAGGATGAGGAAGCTTCGGCTTCCGTACTTCTGACTTGTCCTTAACGAGGTTCTCCGTGGGAAGGACATCATGCTTGGAACGACGGAGGGTCAGCAAAGGAGAGGAAGAGATGAATTCACACTGTGACTTCAGCGACGTGTTCTGGTGTCTCGAGGATGGTGAGAACGGCACAGGATAGGGCAGGATTCAGGGTGGCTGTTCATGGGGTCGCCGTGATTCATACTTGCCTAGACGGCATCTCACAACAATAACCACGTTCTGGGCACTGGGAAATGAGAGGTATGTGTGCCTAACGTGATGACTTTTCTTCTTGCGCAAAGTTTGCGTTTTTTCAGTTGGGTTTTTTTAATATACTAGTTTATTGACAAAATTCACCTACATTATTTTTCACACCAGATCCTTCCCATTTTCCTCAGTCACCCCCAACCCATCATATTGTACAACCCCATGATTGATCCCCACCCCTCTGCCTCCACCCTCCTGTCTACCCTTGAATCTTCACACTCATTGTACAGTAATGGTTTGATACAGTATTTGTCCTTGTGGGACCAAGTTAGTTCACTCAGCATAATGCTCTCCAGTCCCTCCCAAGTTAGGTAGTAATTTACAAAATCAGTGCTCCTGCGTGCTGCATAGTATTCCATCGTGTGAATGCACCCCCACTTCTCAATCCATTCGATTGTGGTTGGACATCTGGGCTGTTTCCATGTTCTTGCGATGGTGAATAATGTTGCTGTAACAGGTTGCATGTTGAGTGTGAACGTGGTGATGAAGGATTTCTTCCTTGATGGCTTGGTGTGGCTCTGACCTCCTCAGTCACCAGAGAGAGATAATTGTATCCCATCAAATTGTCCCTCTTCATTGTTCTTTCACTTTCAGTGCCTTCATTTTTTTCTAAAGGTGGTTATTACTCTGAAGCCTTTCAAAGATGGAGAAAAAACACAGAGGAACGTGGTGATGTGTGCCAGCCATGCGCTTGGAGCCTGCCTTGGCCTGTGTCCAGGCTTCTTAAGCACATAAACGACGGGAATGCCACAGCTTGGATCAGGGGACCTTAGTCCTGTATGTGACATCTTTGTTTTTAAACATGTTTTTGTTTTTTAACTTTGGCAGATTTGCACAGTGAAATATATTATTGACTTTCTGAATATTGTTTCAGTGGAGGTCGTTCTGCATATTAATGTGACTTTATTCAACTTCTTGGACCCAATTTTACCATTTTATTTTGTTTCTCCATTGCCTGGTTTTTGATGGGTTCCCTTTCCCCCTTTATACTATTGTTGTTGTTAGGTGCCATTGAGTCAAGTAGGACTCTTGGCAAATCTGGGAACAACAGTTCTGAGCCCTGTCCTGCCCAGTGCCGTCCTCATCATCTCTGACCACTTCAGGTATTGCTTCAGTCACTGTGTCAGTCCGTCTTGTTGAGGGTCTTCCTCTCTTTCACTGACCCTCTATCTTTTCAAGCATGACGTCCCTGTCCAAGGAATAGCCTCTCCCAGCCACATGTCCACAGTATGTGAGGTGAAGTCTCATCATCCTTGACTCCAAGGAGCACTCTGGCTTCACCTTCTACAAGACCTATCTGTTCTTGTGGCAGTCCACAGAATATTCAGTACTTTTCTCCAACACCAAAACTCAAGGGCATAAATTCTTCTTCTGTCATCATTATTCATTGTGCAACTCTCAGATGCATAACTGAAAAGACCATGGCCTGAATCAGGCACACATTAGTCTTCAAACTGGCATCTTTGTACTTTAGTAGTTTGGAGTGGTCCTTGAAAGGAGACTTGCCCAATGCAGACAGCTCCACACCTCCTGGATGCTGTAAGATGAAATCATTGACAGTTTCAATCTTTTCCTATCTATCATGATGCTTCTCATTGGCCCAGTGGTGAGGATTTTTGTTTTCTTGATGTTAAGATATAATCCCTATTGCAGGTTGTGGTCTTTGATCTTCTGCAGCAAGTATTCTAAGCCCTCTTCACTTTAGGCAAGCAAGGTTTTGCTCTCTGCATAGTGCAGATTGTTGGTGAGTCTTCCTCCAATTCTTACGTGACATTCTTCCTCATAGAGTCCAGCTTCTCAACTGATTTGTTTGCCGAGCATACAGATTGAATAGCTATGGAGAAAAGCTAAAACCTTGATGCACACCTTTCCTCAGTTTAAACCATAAAGTGCATTAATCAGATTCTATTGGTCCCTTCCTTCCCCTTACTGGTTAGAAAACGAAACATCAACATGGCTTTTTATGTTGCCACTAGACTTTACCATGTGTTCTTAATTTATTGAATTCCCAAGTTAATAATTACTTCTTTTCAGTAAGCAGAAGGCAATGACTTGGAAGTATTTACTTCTTATCATCTCTGTCTTCAGCTTAATTATTTCCTTGAATTATTGTTCCAAAAGGGGTTTACCTGGATGCTGTAACAATTTTTTTTCCTTTACCACTCAGGGACTCCACTAAAACTTACTGAAGGCAATTTTATTCCAATTCATGACAATCATAAAACCAAGTTTCCAAGTTGGCAAATTTTAATGGAAACAGAATGCTCATATTTCTTTTTTCATTGAAAATACCTTATTTATTTTTTATTATTATACTAGAGTTGCTGTAATCAAGAATGCTTTGGGCAGAATATTAAATGATCCAGAAAGTATTAAAAGAAGATGGAAGGAATATACTGAGTCATTATATAGAAAGGAATTGGCAGATACAGAGGAATTTAAAGAAATAA